GAGCTCAGGTTTCCAGGTCCTCCCCAAGGGAAGGGGTGGGGAAGGGGCTGGGGGAAGCTGATCTCTCAGCTTAAAGGAAGCTTTCTCTCTTTTCACATTCATGACCTGTCTCAAATATCCAGCTCAGTTCTATTAATTCACTGTTAACACAGCCAGCTTTAGACTTTAGATCCTCAAAGCCATAGAAGAATTAGGTTACAGCGAGCTTCTATCTATCATAGCTTAGAGTGGCTTTCAAAGAACAAGGATCTGCCCCTCTCCATTGGAGAGTACTTCCTCCGTATCCCCGAAGGGTTCGTGTGGAGGGAAGGGGGCCTCGGCAGGTGAAGAATGAGTGTAGAGGAGGTTTGGAAGCTCTAACGGGACTGTTCTGGGTCTTCCTTGCCTTTTGCTCCAGGTGCTCAAGGACCAGGGCCACCATGATTCACTTCTGTCTGGCTCATACAGCCTATCACTTGCACTGCTGGCTGCCAAGATCTCATCAGCTCAGGCTGTAAGTGTCCCTCATCAGCCCACTGTGGCAAAAAGTTCATTTCTTCCTGAGGCTGTCCTGAGGTTGAAGTAAAATTTATTTTCAACTTTAAAATCACTGACTTTAAGTTTCAAAAACATTGATGTGTAAACATTAATGAAACATTTTGTAAACATTAAGTCAGTTTTTAAAACATTAACTTAAAAAAAAAACTGTTTGGCTTTTCTTGTCACACTTCAGAATGCTCAATATAATTAAATCTATTTTGACCGACTGTTAATGCAATTGACTTGACAACTTCTCAGATTTACACCTCTAAAGGGACACTATTCCTTTTAAAATAGTAACCTTAAACATGTAACCATATTCTAGTTCTAACAATGTGCCATTGCTTTAGTCTGGGGGTATATATATATATATTTTTTTTTTTTTTTTTTTTTTTTTTTTGCGGTACGCGGGCCTCTCACTGTTGTGGCCTCTCCCGTTGCGGAGCACAGGCTCCGGATGTGCAGGCTCAGCAGCCATGGCTCACGGGCCCAGCCGCTCCGCAGCATGTGGGATCCTCCCGGACCGGGGCACGAACCTGTGTCCCCTGCATCGGCAGGCGGACTCTCAACCACTGCGCCACCAGGGAAGCCCTGGGGGTATATTTTGAAATTGCTTTTTGTTTTGAGTACCTTCACTGGGGGTAAATCTTTGTCTTTGGAGGGGAGATTTAATTTCTACAAATACCCTAAAGTCATTCAGTGCTAAATCCAATTAATAAAATAAATAATGAAGGTGAATAACAGTTTACAGTGAAGAGGTAGAACTATTAGTTAAGGAATAAGATTTTCCTACATGTGTGGAAACTATGTAAGTGTAATCTCAAAAGAATTTCAAAACTGAGTGGTAACCACAGACCTCATTTGGTTGTGTAAGTTGTGGTAGGTACGTTAACTCACTCAGTGTGAACCACCTGGCTGGGGGGAGAGCGAGCACAGTACAGGGCCACAGGGTCCTAACCATGCTGTAGCTCACCCTCTGCTGTAGCTCTACTGCTCGCTACTACTAGGTGTTTGTCCTCAGACTAGACATTTAATGTTTCTGAGCCTCGGCTTCCTCATTTATAAAATGGGAAACCACAGTCCCATTTCATAGGATTGTGTGCATATTAAATGAGAAAGTGAATAAAAAATGTGACACATTTGTCTACTAATTATGAATATTAATAATTCTTACTATTGCTTGTGGGTTGTCTTATGGCATTAACTTACAGCCATGGTAAAGAAACGAAGGTTCTCAGGGACTTCTCTGGTGGTCCAGTGGCTAAGGCTCCATGCTCCCAATGCAGGGTGCCCAGGTTCGATCCTGGTCAGGGAACTAGATCCCACATGCTGCAACTAAGAGTTCACATGCTGCAACTAAAGATCCCGCATGCCGCAACTAAGACCCAGCACAGCCACAAAAACTAAATAAACAAATAAATAAGAAAGCAAGGTTCTCAAGATTCCTTAGAGACCAGTAATCACAGTGATATAGTAAGAGCTCAATAAATGGTTACTATTATTCTTACTGAAGTATTATTAGACATAATTTTGCTGTAATGGGATGGATCTCAGTTCATCTTTGCTATGTTTAAAACTTTTATTTCTGTGGTTTGATGTAACATTCTCATGAAACAGAACTTGAATTTGGTTTCTTGAAGGCATTTTATCACTGAAAAAGTAATGTATTATGTAACTCACTGTGTCCCATGCAGCCAAGTGACAGTGTTCCTGCTTGGGATCACCATTCTGACCCTCCAGTTCTATGTTCTGCTGAAGTAAGTTATTTCTCCAGCCAACCCCCTCCCCTGGCAGCTCAGCATGCACGTCTTACCTGTGGAGATGGCTCGGGTGCCCTCTGCCATTCCTGTTATGTGTTTAATTGCAGCCTGCCCCATTGTTTTGCCCCTATTATCAATGGTAGTCACCTGTTTCACCTCTTCGAAGAGTCAAAAATCTCAGTACAGCCAGGAGAGCTCGGATTTGGGCAGATTGAGTTTAACTTTTAGTCAACAGTTATTTCTTCTAGTATAAGAAGTCGTCAAATGGGAAACAACGAGAGCACCGACATTTCAATTTATAAATTCCCTAGAGAGCAGTCCCAACAGCCTAGCATTAGCTAACTTCTGCAGGGCTGAGGGTGACACAGGCACACTCAACCAGATTATGACTTGACCTGTTATTTCAGATTCTATGTTGGAAAGTAGTTTTGGCTGAAGAAGGCAGTTAATACCTTTTTCGGGCAAAACGAGGCAAATGCAATTTGATACATTCAAAATCAACTGCAGTTCTAAAAATCCTAAAAAAAAATCTGAAAACTTAAGTGATGGGGAAGGAATGGAAACCGTGACACTCCTTGTAATTAGCCTAACTCAAACTTGCCAGCTTCTACTATAAGAGGTTTGTGTGTGGTAGGGCATATTTCCTTACTCCAGAATTTCCACAAAATGCTTTTTCACCAAAATATCAAATTAACATGAATTAGAAAAATGGTAAACATTATTTGTCCACCAATTAAGATATTAGTAACTCTTAATAATATTTTTATTAATGCTAGCATTAATTAATTTGCAGTCACAGTAAAGGAACCAAGGTTCTTAAGAGGAGTGAGTTGCCTGGAGCCAAATGAACCTAGTGCCACAATTAGAATTCAAGGGTCAGGGCCTTCTGGTGTTACACTAACAGCGTGGATTTCTTCTAATAAGTAATCAATTTATGTATGACCCAGGGTATTGATTTTTAGGCCCAGATCTTCTCGATACTGCAGTCAACCTCTCCTCACCAACCTGGTTGGTAATATCATCTTTACTTTCTTCACAATTGGTAAGTGTGCAGTCATTCTGTCAGGCACTTTTAAGTGTCTACTATTTGCCAGACACTACTAGAATAAAAACGGGTAGAATAGGACTTCTTGCTCTTCAAGAGCTCAAAGACCGAAACCTAAGAAGAAATTCACATTTAGAATTCAGGTGAAGGGAATTCTTCTTTTTGGTTTTGGTTTTTGGCCATGCCGCACAGCAGGCGGGATCTTAGTACCCCAACCAGGGATTGAACCCGTGCCCCACTGCAGTGGAAGTACAGAATCTTAACCACTGGACCGCCAGGGAAGTCCCTGAAGTGAATTCTTAAAAAGTTCCTTAGTATCTCTTTTAGTCATCCTACAACTTGAATATGAACCCAAATTAAATTAAATACTAATGTTTTGTTTTGATGTTATAAAATTCTTTACAGTTATAAAAACATCAGATTTATCCACTCATTCAATAAATAGTTACTAAGGAGATGATATAGGTAGAAAAACAGGGACCTCAACTAATTGAAGTCAAAAAATGATACAAAAGAGTTGGACTCTGAAATGTGCTGAAGTTTTAGGAATACCTTAAACTAGTATATATATACTAGTATATTTTACTTATATTTTCCTTTGTATGTACTTTTAAGAGTGATGTGAACTTTAAATTAAGACTATGTCTAAATTTTTATAAAATGAAAAAAGTTATTGGATGCCTTAACATGGTTCTAGAAAGAGTCTCCAGAGAATTCCCTGGTGGGAGGCCAGTTCAAACAGTAATCCCACAACAGCAGGAGCTACTTCTCTCTGACCTTCCTTGCCCTCATTTCTAAAATGGAGATAAAAATACCTGCTTCACAGTTTTGCTGTAAGGTTTAAATGAAATAACGGGGGAATTAAAAAAAAAAACTGTCACAGTTATTATCACTAGCATTGCCAATAGTAAGCACATGACCTCGATCAAAGGAAAACCTTAGCCTGGCTAGGTTTTGAGCACTTTTGTTCCACAATAGATACATGAGGAAACACCTTCTATTTAGGGTCTGCATTCAAGAGTATACTTCTGAATGAAATAATGCCATTTTGCAGCAACTATATGATATCACTTATATGTGGAATCTAAAATATGACACAAATGAGTATATCTACAAAACAGAAACAGGCTCACAGACATACAGAACAGGCTTGTGGTTGCCAAGGAGAAGGGGGAGTGGGGGAGGGAAGGATTGGGAATTTGGGGTTAGCAGATGCAAACTATTATATAGAGGATGGATCAACAACTAGGAACTGTAATCAATATCCTGTGATAAACCATAATGGAAAAGAACTTGAAACAAATATATGTATAACTGACTCACTTTGCTATACAGTAGAAATTAATAAGACATCGTAAATCAACTATACTTCAATAAAAAAAAAGAGAAATGTATTTCTGAGATAATTCAACCCAGTAAACTGAGGCTGTTCTGCTGTCCTTTTAGGTTTTACCGTGCTGCTTACTCAGATGGAACCAGTCCCACAGGCACTAAAGAGGATGTTTTCTGTATTTGGTGTGGGGTCCTTCAGTGAAGGAGTCTGCACCGTAGTGTTAACATTTTTGGCAACCGACTGTGTACGTTTTTAAATACTGAATTTCCAAAGGCTCATCTTAACCTGAAAGCTTGGCTGTATACAATGCACCATTAGTCCTCAGCATTTATTTTCTACTTACACTAAGAATAGAGATGGAGAGATAGAACTCCTCAGTAGACACATCACAGTTAAAACATTTCAACAGGGAAAGTTTAAAAATTCCATGAGAAATTTTTCTTTTTGTAGAGTGAAGTCTGCTTTACTAGAATTAAAAAAAAAAAGTTAAGACATTAATCAACAGTGGTAGGAACTGCTGGACGGGGTTGGCACATTAAGCAGCAAGCTTTCCATCTCCTGCTAAGTTGGTGCCTTTGTTTAAACCCTTTCAGCAAAAACATTTAAAATATGTATTGCAATTAAAAGACAAGTATTCCTAACAGTTCTTTCTTCCTCCCAAATATAGGAAAAAAGGACTCCTGAACTTTACTACTTGTCTGTGATGCTTTCAGTAAGCAGTGTGGTTTCTACAGGTAAGCAAAAACTTCCCAAGTAACCCATACCTATTTAAAGGCTTAACCAGTCCTTCAAGGGAAGTAAATGCTCAGGTAGGATTCTTACATTGCAAGGGGAACGTATAGCTCCTCTTAAAGCAGGAGCTCCAAGAAGCTGCAGAGTTTTAAAAGCAAAGAAAAAGCAGAGAGGGTTAGAATGGGATATAAAAAGCCATCCTTCTCACATTATTTCCACTCCATTTAATTAGATCCCATTCTTTATCCTACAGTGTTTTGCTCAAGCCTGGGGCTGACTTGGCTGGCCAGTGTAACCTGTCCAAGGCCAGATGCTAAATCAACAGTATGAAGCTGACATCTGAGCCTTGCTGGTCCCCTGCCTTAGATATATGTCTTGGCAGGTTGAGCCTTTTCCAGCAGCCTTGTCATCTGACTACTGCCAGCAAACATGTGACCATCTCCACCCTGCCACTCCTAGATGAAGTGGGGTCAGCTGAACATCAGAGCCACGACAACAAGAAGCACAGCAAAACCAGTCACTGGGAAGAAATTTGTCAGGTGACAACATTAATGAGCACTGACAATGGATAAAAAGGAATCGTTCAACCAAAATCACTGGGTCGATATCACAAGCAAATTCAGCCCCAGTAAGGATCTCCTATTAGATACTTTCAAGATCATTAGTATTTTGACTTTCTGAACCTCCTTTTCTGTTTCAGTGAAGTTAGTAGCATCAGCTGGATGGCCACTATAAAAGTATTGAGAAGGAAAAAGAAAAATATAGATCTTAGTAATGAACAAAGGTCTAGTTTCAAAAGAACACAGTGATCCAGACTGTATATTTGAACAAGGTCAATCTATCACTTCTTTAAAAGTGCAGTGGGAGATTTTAGAGTAAAACTCATCACGATCTCCCCTACCTGGGCTACACCAATCTCTTGCATCATGACAGTCAACTGCTGTCTAGAGAAAATAGCCAACTGACCTGCATGATGTTGTCTTTTGACTTGTTCTGTGTGTATGCACAGATTCTGAGGGATTTTAAGTAGTAGCTAGATACTCACAGATGCTCTCAAAGTCTTTAGTAAGTGGAGATAATGCCATTTCTTGAGGGGAAGAACAGCATCTCTTGGCAGAAGGAACAAGTTTAATACAAACATCTCGCAACACATCTATGACAGACATAGATCTTCACAAATGGGAATGATTGTTTTCCATCTGCTTCTCTGTTCAGGTGATACTTGCTGCAGGGGAAGTTACCCACCAACACACTATCCATCCACCACACTGACATTTTCTGAGCACCTTTCACATTCCAGACATAGCTCTAAAACTTAGGAGTTAGAAACGCGAGTAACTCATAGGTTAACAGTGAAATCCCCTGAAATAATTCTTTTACTATGGTTAACAGAAACTATTTAAAAGTAACACAGCCTTTTACATTCTCTAGACCTCATTAACCAAATATCAACATGTCAGATGAATGTCAACTTATCTCAAGATAGGATTTTTATCAGAAGTTTCTTTTTTTCTCAACTATCTTGCCCCTCACCCCCAAACCTGATCTACTTGAAGATCTCAGCTGATGACAAACCCATCCTTCCAGTTGCTACAGTCAAGTACCTCAAATCATCCTAAATGCATTGTTTTTCTTTTCCCACACCCCATCAGGAAGTCCTAATGGCTTCACCTTCAAAATACATACAGAATCCAACCATTTTTCGCTAGTTGGAAATTTTTAACTGACTTTTTCTAAATGCAAGAGGCTGCTTCTTAAGACCAAGGCTTCTTGGTACTTCTTTTTTTAAAAACTAATTTATTCATTTGGTTGCTCCGGGTCTTAGTAGCAGCAGGCGGGCTTGCAGGCTCCTTAGTTGCAGCACATGTGCTCCTTAGTTGTGGCTCCAGGGCTCCTTAGTTGCGGCACACGGGTCCCTTAGTTGTGGCATGTGAACTCTTAGTTGCAGTATGCATGTGGGACCTAGTTCCCTGACCAGGGATCGAACCCGGGCCCCCAGCATTGGGAGCGTGGAGTCTAACCCACTGCGTCACCAGGGAAGTCCCTGCTTGGTACTTCTGTGTCTTGAAATTATGCAACATTCTTAACGTAACTCCAGAAAACGAAATTCTGTTTCTTAATTGATAAGCATAACTTGAAGCAAAATTTAACCAGCACCTTAACCCATAACCTATAAAACTGAATTTTCATGCACATTTATGCTTTTATCATTTCCTCCAAAACCAAGTCACCAGAGTTAATTTCATTAAGAAACATTTATTTTATGCTACCAATATCGTATGAAATACAAAGCATGCTCTTTCTCCACACAGGTGAAAAGTATAAAATTCTAAAACTGCTATTTTTTTAGCCCCTCATAACTTAGACAGCCACGATCAGCAATCGTCCCTCACAGACTGACAACACTTTCTGCTATAACCCATGTTTGCTCCGAGTGGAAAACTTTTGCTGAGCAACTTCATGGGGGATGCTTTGTTTTAGCAGTTCTCAATCTGGGACCTGGGCTTCAGAGGTACAAAGTCTCTGAAGTTGTAAGCAAAATGTTGGGCATGTGCACCTATGAGCAACTTTCTGGGAGAATATAAAGGAAGTTTGAGAAAATAAAAACATTAAGCATTACACTCATTAAATTTACTATAAGAAAAAAAATACTTGATGTTTGACATCCACTACTCTCCATTTAAAACTTAAAAAACAGGGCTTCCCTGGTGGCGCAGTGGTTGAGAGTCCGCCTGCCGATGCAGGGGACACGGGTTCGTGCCCCGGTCCGGGAAGATCCCACATGCCGCGGAGAGGCTGGGCCCGTGAGCCACGGCCGCTGAGCCTGCGTGTCCGGAGCCTGTGCTCCGCAACGGGAGAGGACACAACAGTGAGAGGCCTGCGTACCACAAAAAAAAAAAAAAAAAAAAAAAAAAATTTAAAGTTAGTCTTCACACTACTTTTTCCACAGCTGCTAAACCCTAGAAGTGAAAACTTTCTAATTACTAATTGAATTGAATTGAATATTGAATTTCTAAATGCTCATCTAATCTGAAAGCTTGGGTATATTCAATATACCATTAGTCTTCAATATATACTTTCTACTTAGATTAAAATTAAAGATATGTAAAAATGGAATTCCTAATTAGACATATGTCATAGTTAAACATTTCACTGGAGAAAGGTCAAAAAATTCCACAAAGAATTCTCTTCCTTTTTCTACTTTACTATAATTTTTTCTAAGTTAATATGGAACTGTTGGAAAGATAGATCAATGGAACAGGATAGAAAGCCCAGAGATAAACCCACGCACATATGGACACCTTATCTTTGATAAAGGTGGCAGGAATGTACAGTGGAGAAAGGACAGCCTCTTCAATAAATGGTGCTGGGAAAACTGGACAGGTAAATGTAAAAGTATGAGATTAGATCACTCCCTAACACCATACACAAAAATAAGCTCAAAATGGATTAAAGACCTAA